ATAATAATTAATTATTATTATTGAAAATTAAATAAATAATAAAATATATTTAAAAACAATTAAATATATATTTTTTTATCCGTGCCTCTAAGGCGGGCCTCCGTCGGCTCCAAAGTCCAAACCCGCTAGTATTTTCCTTTTCCTTTTTTAATTGACGTCCCGTCGATCGTTAGTCTTCTGAGTTCTGATAATTATATGATTGGGCTCCACGTAGTCTTGGTGCTTGGAATTAACGCCACCCACCCCATTTCTTTTTTTTTTGGTGAAAACCACCCACCCCATTTCTATGAATGGAATGGGGTACTTGGTGCTTTTCGTCACTGACGCTGTCGTGGTGGCCATGTTCTGGGATTCCGTCTCAAGAGCCATGCCATTTCCTCCCCACGCTTAAGTTTAAATAGACATTAATCTGCTTTTAAGCCTTTTTTTTTTCTTTAAATATGAGAAATTAGAAGAAGGAGATTAAAAAGGATAGGATTCGAAAGTTACATTACAAAATATGAAGTCTTAACCATTTGTAAGTGGCCACTTACGTCACTCAAGATTTTTCGATTTTAAGTCATCTAAGTCAATGTTAAAAGAAAGAAAATGATTGACATCGCCTAATTATGGTGTCACAAGGCCCACCACTCACAAGTTTCTCTTGTGCTAAAGTTAGTAAAAAGAAAGGTAATGCTGATTAAAAAACAAAAAGAAATGTGCCGGAATCATTCAAGCCAACACAATAAATCATCCATTCTGCCCTTTTTTTCCTTTGTCTTTTTTTGTCTCACCAAACAAAAATGATAATTCTGCCTTTTTTTCAGTGTCTATATACTTATTAGAATGCACTTGCGACCTTATTCGCGATAGCAGTGCATCAATGCCTTTAATTTTTTTGTCAAGGTTTAAACTATCAATACCGTAATATTATAATTATTTTTTTTCTCAATTTTTCATTGGTCAAAAAAAATATATATATACTTATTATAATATTTTTTTGTTTTGCGATAACATTAGATACTAAAGCTTAAATTTGTGTTTAGGACTCTAGTAATTTATTATTAAATTATACTATTGATGATACTTATAATAATAATATAATTATAATATTGCATAAATTTATAAATTTATATTTATAATATATTATTAAAAATTAAAATTAAAATTTAAGATTAAAATCTAAGAAAATTATTATTATATTAGACTATCGACGATACATATAATAATAATATAATTATAATATTACATAAATTTATATTTATAATATATTATTAAAAATTAAAATTAAAATTTAAGATTAAAATCTAAAACTAATGATATAATATAAGTTATTTTATTTAAAATATTAAAAAATTTTATATTATTTAATAATTAATTATTATATTTTGTTAAAATATATTATATTATATATCAATTAATTTAATAATATAATTTATATCATAT